TTTGTTAAGGACCTTGTATATTGGTGGGGTTGGTGGATGCCGTTTATGATTGCATGGCCGGGTACAACACTTGCATGGCGTCTTTTTCTTCACATGCAGCGCAAACCCATCAGCGAAGATCATCGATATGCCTGCCTCTGGGCTTCCTCACATGCACAATTCTTGCCAAGTCAGATCTTCTTGCATCCGTTTGAGACCACAACGATGCAGTACGTCAACACATGAATTCTTATGCACGTAAGCAGGATCTCGTATCTTGAACCCGAGTCCGCCGGCGTCCGATCGCACCGAGCTCTTATGCACTGTACGCGCTATCCGGGAGCTTGAGCTTTGTACCCCTGTCGATGTGGAGAATAGGCGAGGAATGACGGCATCGATCCCAACTACGAGTCTAGATCGCCAGACATTTTGGTACAACGGTATGCGCCGGATGCACTGCCGAAGAGTGTATTTGTTGGTTAGGCTTCCAGGATGGCCAGATGCATAAAGCAACAGATGTTTTGATCTGCGAGTATATATTAATGCCAGAGTCCCTTGAGTAACACGAGCTTCGTGTCCTTTTTTTTTTTAGTCCAACCGCCCACTATGACACTCCTCCAAACCCTACTCCGGGTAACCGCATTCAAGAACCCCCTCTTACGTACCCTCGTGCCCTCGGTCGCACTCGCATATGGTATCCAAGCTGCCGTTGCTGTCCCCTCCATTGCTGCGCAGACAGAACGTTACTATGACCTCTCTGGGAGCCTCACATACCTGTCCTGTACAGCGCTCAGTCTAGTCTTGCCTTATATGCGCGCAAGAGCCGCTGGGACGGTTACAGGAGGTATAACCGAGTATTTCAGTAGCCAGGGATTAGGACAGGGGACGTGGTGGTGGAGACAGGCGCTGTTGAGTGCTGCGGTGGGGATATGGGCAACGAGATGTGTGTTCTTCTTGCTCTCAATGGGTAAATTAAAAACGAAAGAACAGAAGTACTAATAGTTATGGCAGTGGGTTCCTACCTCTACAAGCGCATTCAAAGTGATGAAGGAAAGGATAGCCGCTTTGATTCCATCCGCACCTCACCACCCAAATTCTTCGTCGCCTTCTTTGCACAGGCAACTTGGGTCTCGCTGTGCACTCTCCCCGTCATCCTAGTCAACTCTGTTCCACGATCTGCATACGCAACCTCGCTGCTCGGCAAAGCCGTATCTTCAAAACCCTACTTGACCGATATCCTCGGCCTGGCCATCTTCGTCTTCGGTCTCACATTCGAAGTCGTCGCCGACCGCCAAAAGGACGCCTGGGTCCAAGGCAAGAAACAAAAGAAGCACTCGGAGGAGTTCTTGACACATGGCTTGTGGAGCAGGTCTCGGCATCCGAATTACTTTGGCGAGGCGACGTTGTGGAGCGGTATTGCGATTGCGGCGGCGGGGTTGCTGGTTAGGCAGCCGGCGCAGGCGGCGCTGGGATTGAGTGGGGGATTGGGCGGACAGGTGCTGGTTGCGGGTATGTGTGCGGCTAGTCCGGCTTTTGTGAGCTTTTTGCTGCTCAAGGTTAGTGGGGTGCCGTTGAGTGAGAATAAGTATGATGAGAGGTATGGAGATCGGAAGGATTATCAAAAGTGGAAAAGGGAGACGCCCATGTTTGTGCCCAAGATTTGGTAGGCTGGGACTGTTGGAGTGGGTTTCTTTGCGAATCGATTACGAAAGATGTATGCTTTGTTTCTGTTGAGATGAATGGAGGAAGGAATGTCAATGACCGAGACCTCGTAAGAAAAGATGCGTGTGATCAGCGAAGATGTGACTATACACTAGCTTTACTTGCTGTCCACTAGAGCAGTACAGCAAACTTTGGTGAAAAAAAAAAGACAATAGCATAGCAGTATTGCTATTTCTAGTTGCATAGATCTTGTGTTCTATCTAAGCCTGTTATAAAGGCGTAACTATAGGCAATAGTGCTTACTTTATGCTACAAAGCATAGTAACAAATAGCTTATATATTAATACTATAGACGTGAGTAGTAAAGAGAATAATTCTTATTCTTTCTTTATAGACTAAGGCGTACTTTATAAGCAGGTTTAGCGCTTATTACTCTTTTAGAAGTAGCATGCGTCTTGTATTTCTCTCTAGTATAAGGTGCTTTTAGAATCCTTATTACACTGCAATCTAAACTTTGTTGCTGCTCCTAGTATAAAGAGTAGCAAGATTGCTATAGGTGCTAGGAATTACAGCTTTACCCTTGCGCGCTGCTGCAACATCATTTCTACTAGCATGCTAACAGAGGTATAACGTCTACCTGTTATAAGAAGCTAGGCGGCTTAGGCTTGTTAGCTAGGCTTGTAGGTCTAATAGCCGGCTTTTAACCCTTCTTTAGACATTAGCTATCGTAAACGATGTAGCGTTTAATGTATCTGCTGCTGTCTCTGTTAGCATTTGTTTTTACAGCGGTCCTATGCAGCATCTTATATTTGCGGTTCTACTTCTGCACAACTTGCAATTGCACTATTTCTTGTTACTGCTAAGACGTTGTATTACATAGCTTGTATTAGTTAACATGCATTACTTACTCAGTATTAAAATCTGAAATCATCTAAGTGTGTGTTCCTGTAGCATATAGCTAAGGCTGGTCAGAAGAAATGCTCGTTTTGCCGTCTTGCATCAATTTTTAATCTAGCATCTAGCAGTGACTCGAAAGTCTCGCGTGGTATATAATTGCTATAATTATTATAATAGATATCGACAGTAGGTAGATAGTACTAGATAAACTGTCTGATATCGAAACTAATTTTGGCCTTGAACATACCAGCATAACATAATGCGTCCGGAATTTCTAACGAGATACCTATATTAGTCCCGCTTTCTAGTTCCTGTTAGTCTCCCTGCAAGCAGGCCATATGTATTTCTCTATTAAAGACTTCAGAAAAGTCTTCTTTGCCTCAGAAGATCCAGTTGTACTTCCAAAGTACGCTCGTGCACGTAAGCCCCTCATTAAGGATACGTTTGCAGAGCGGTAGCATAATGCACAAAGGTTAAAAGACATAGTTTAGACCTAAGCATATCATAATCTAGACCTCGTCTAGAAGGGTAAGGAGTAGGTAACCGTGCACACCTGTAGCGTTGTCGCAATTTGCTTAGAATGAGCATTCGAGCGGTCCAATGCATGTTTTCTGCATCTCCCGCCATAATCGTAGATTATCATGTAAATTGCCGCAAGGACGTTGATAGGCTGTGCACGAAACTGCAGCATCTGTAACGAAGCTAACGACAAAGCCACAAGAATCATCAGCCGAAGTACGAATTTCCTCGAGTGGCTGGCGAAGTATTCTAGCTTTTTTGGTTCTGTTACCAAAAACTAGATCTGTAAAAGGCCTTTCTCTAGAGGATGTCCAAGGAACCCCGTTGATTGTAACGCGCACAAAACAGCGAACTCCTATTCGATCGCTATATCGCTTTACAATTATGGCAAAACCTGGCGTGTTGCAGAAGTTATACGGCTCGTGTAGATGCAGCACATAAATGCATTTGAACTCGATCGTAAGGAAGTAGGGATAGATGCTCGCGGCTATGCTGATTCCAGAACTGTCCAGGCTCCAGCCTTCAAGCGTGGAAAAAAGTGTTGTGCAAGTTCTGGCCATACTCTTAGCTTCATTTGGGAGATTTGAGAAGCAGGCCGGGTCTGATGCGAGCATTCCAAACGTGTTTACTGCGAGACCCTGCTATATGAAAATGCTTATGTCTGTGCTCATTTTCATAATTTCCTCTTGCAGCCTATGGAAAGCTCTTGCACCTTCGCCATAGAGAAGAGGCTTCGCTATCTCAGTACACTCAGCTCAGCCGTCTCTTCTGCCTTTTTGTCGCTGCACATGATGCAGGCCAGACCGCTAAGCAACTTTGAAAGAAGGAAAGAACGTGTTAAACTAGTATCAGCACTGGCGGCGTCTCCGCTGGCCGCAATGAAAGACTATCGTGAAGATGCTGAGATCCGTCTTAGAATCTAGGTTCTCGCAGGAGAAAGATCGTAGGGAGATTCGACGTTCTACATTAAGATGCAGCTAATATCTTGCAGAGGCGTTAGTTAAAGCTTTAGTCGTGTTGCTGAGGCGTCTGGCTGCCTCTGTAGTATTATGCGACACTCTAACTTATGCTAAACTACTCTGCTGCAGTAGCCTAGAGGCATGGCAGCACAAATCTTAAATGCAGACATCTTTAGTCGTTTCTCTCTCTAGAGTTACCTTGCCTACGTTACACGCTACGCGCTTCTCCTTAGCTGTCTTAAGCTTATGTGCCTTTACAGTCTTTTCAGGCGCGGTATTCTTGGGTCTGTAGTGTCAGATTTAGACCCTTAAGTTTGCAGTCGCAGCTCCCTCTTCTTACGCTCTTCTACAATATCGCAAGCACGTGCTTCTAACCTTCTTTGGTAGTTCGAGTATAGCTTCACCCCTAGCCACTGCGCAAGAACCAATCCTCCCGCCTGCTCAACCGTCAACCCTCATCTTCGAAATCATCGTTTGGTTCTGGTAGAGGCGCCTTTCTTGGAGCTTGCTGCATTCGCTTGCTCTCCATTCCCACTTACAAGCCATGCCTCCGGAATGCTCTGTCTGTCAAGAAAGCCAGTGAACGAACAGCACCCTTGCTGCTGATGGCCTTGTTCCCAGTGGTAACTTAGTCAAGATAGATTTCTACTCTTGAGAAATACATTCTTAGCTTCGGTGTCGCGCCAAAGTCGACCGGCTTTGTATTTTAAGCGCATATTTTGATTATAATATCTTCAGAGCTCGTAATTATACCGCTACATCGATTATCGTAGAACTTTATTCATTATATGATCCCTAACTTTGCACTAAAACCCATCCTTGAAACGCTTGCAAAAAAGAAATAGAGAATAATACTGCGAAATCTGGCGATAGCAGCCAATGAACAAGAACTCAGCCAACCCGAGAGAACAAGCAGCAAATCATCCCAACTGTCACATAAACCATTCGACGATTGCATCACGGCCATTGGTGCAATTATGCCAATCAGGACAGAATTGTTGTTAAGTTCTCCACCAAGTCGGACCCCGTATCATTACCCACCTTCTGCACTAGCTTCGCTATCAAGGCGCAGCAAGTTGACATGACCACAATCCAATCCAGCTCCCCTTCATCAAAGGTAATCGCTGAGCTGCGCATCCATTTCGCCGGCGCCCAAAGCCGTCCAATCACCAGTGAACGGTCGGGAAGCTGTTTCACCAGATTGAATTTCGTGACGGTCAAGGCCTTAGTTTCAAGCTGCCACTTGTACGTAATGCCGTTGAGCGTGAATGACTCCTCCTCGCTGGACTCTCCGCACGGTTTGAGTTTAAGGTTGGGCGTCTTGTTGGTGTGCTCGGGATCGAAAGTTAGCTTCTTCGCGCCATTCGCAAACAGCGCGAGCGTGAGCTCGCTGACCTCGACGAGGTCTGCCTTCGATGTGGAGAACGGAGCGGGTTGTACTGGAGCGACATCGGCGTCCGCCTGCGGCTCTGCAGGGACTGGTTGAGAAATAAGTTCGAGGGGCATCTTAATCGAATATCTCTTCGTGAAGATATTCGAGAGGTACATCTTCAGACAAGGCGGCACAGAGCCCGAGTTTGCTAGTTCTCGTGCCTCCTTCTTGAATTCATCACTGGCAAACTCCGACTTTACGACTGATGTTATGTCGTAGGCGGTTATCGTCTTAGCCAAGCCTATATGCTGCTTGAGGAAGATGGTGCGTGTCGGCTGTACTGAAAGCACTTCGGCCTTTGTCTGTGGTTTCTTGGAACTGGAAAAGAGTCCCATTGTGCCAATCTAGGAGTCTACAGTTGTAGGCAGATAGATACGTGTGCACACTGAGACAAGGACAGCGGGAGACGAAAAATAAAGGAATCCTACTTGAGTAGATTAAACTTAACAAACCACCACACGAAAGGGCAAGCAGGCTATAAATACAGTAAAGCTCTTCATGTGAAAGTCTCGTCACCAGAATGGGCTTCTGAGATCTCCAGTATTGACATTAAACGATCGAGATCAATCGAGACTAATCGAGACCAACCGAAATGCGTGCCGAGCAACGTGGTGTGATTCTTCTGCCGAATAAGGGTAAGGATCACGCATTGCAGAAATCTGGGCCCCTCTCTCATGCGTTGCTTTTCAGGGCGTGGCGCTACCATATGCCAAAAGGAATTTCTTTGGCGTGCGGGTACTGCCGACACAGCTGGAAGCAAGCAACAAGTGGCAATAGTGTACACTAAAGCAACCGGTTGAACTGATCGGTCCAGAGGGTCCACAGTTGCTTGAATTGTTTCTGTCTCTCACTATCCGTAGTAACGTGAAGCAAGCACTATTGCCTACAGTTACGCCATCACAAATAGGTGCGCAAACTTAGTAAGGTGCGTCGCTTACTTGTAAAACACGTTATCTAGAGTTAAGCTATATACGTTGTATACTATTAGCTTAATCTAGACTTATATTTACCAGTTAATTCTTGAGTTAATCAACAGGCATAAAGTAGTAGTAGCTCTCAGCTGTAGTTGATAAGTAGCCTGGCGTGCGGCTTTCAGCAACGAAGGGAATTGGGGAGATTGGACCTGGTGGAACGGGTAAAGGTCAGAACACCTCCTTGTTCCAGACCAAGTAGTGCACAGTAGCTTTCGCTAGTAACAATATTGGAGCTGTAATGTTGATGAAGCTAGCAAAAACCTTTTTTTTCGTTACTGACTAATGCCTTTCTCCGCGTCGACTACACCCATCCTTGCTGGGGGTACCCTCGACTCAATCAGGTGGTCTCGTGATGGATTCGGTTTTGTAGACTTCCTTGTTGAAAGTTTTCGGTCTAGGAAATCCTCTTGTTTTGGGTTGCAGTCGCGAGAACTACAGTCACAAGGAATGCGGTACCCAGGCGTAAGATCCAGTGGATTACTAGGTCCAAGTGGAACTCGATTTTCCGCAAGCATCGTGCACCTGCGCACTGGTCGATTGAGTTTCACAGTAGTGAAGGCATCCAGCACTTCTACGAGGTCCATCAGCAGGTGCTGAAGGCGCCGTACTCGATGGTCAGGTACTATGACACTGAATTGTGGGTACTGCTGCTGCTCTTTCATGATAGATTCTTCTTCTTTCTCTAGTTTCTTGCGCCTCTGCTCCTGCTCGGAACTCTCCTCTAAGGCCATCTTGTTCAAGTCATTGACCACTTTGTTACTCCGAGCCTCGCGCAGTATTTCCCTTTCTAACTCTGTCTTCTGTCCTTCTTCTTGGTTTTCGATATTCTTTTTCATGGTTTCGTAAGCTTGGGGATTGGTATGTGTTGGCCACTTGTTGGTATACAAGCTTCGGAACCGACGGTAAACAATTTGCTGAAATTCGTCCTCGTACCAGCTAAAGAGGTTGTGCAAGTTTGGCGAGCCCCTTGATTCGGAAGTTGATTCGTACTTTTTCTGGAATTCTGTCCACCCAATTACTCGTAGCTCTCGGGTATTTTCGGCACTACTATGTTCAACCACTTCAGTAAGGTGTTCTTGAGCAGCTAGTATGTCGCCTTCGAACCAACGCATCTCCCGGCTTTCGCGCCCTTCGTAGTCCATCGAGATGAACTCGTCTTGTATCTTCCAGAGGGTCTTTTTCAGATTTTCGGCCTCCTCGCCCCTAATGTGTGCGAAGAAGTGTGTCATTTCGCGAATGATATGAACGCCAGCAAAGTATGAGCCGATCAAGTAAGAAGTGAACTCACTGCTCCACCCGTCACCATAGGCTGCGCAACGCTTCGGACTATAGTTGTCTTCATCCAGAATGTCAAAGAACCAATTGGACAGGTCCCATGCTGCGATAATGAGGGGTACTGAGTATCGAGCCAGCGCCTTCTTGTTCGCACGAGCTTGAGTTCGATGTTCGTTCCATCCGGACATCCAAGCAGTCGCCAGCGCGGCAATTAAGGCAGCAATACCTGTTACGATGGCTGCGACAATGGATCCATCGAGTGCCATCTTCCTCTAGCAGAAGCTTGCTGTTCGAAGACGAGGATTGAACGGGTATTAGGAGTAGACACGAAATTGTTGGGTACGTTCTGTCAATCCCAGCGGCGTCGATTAGTGAAGACAGAAATTCGGGCTCGAGCAATGATGGCAAGGCAGTAAGGTGTGTCAGGTGTCATAGATATCGAGATATCATGGTTACTTATTATCCACAGCTGAGAGCTACTACCACTTCACGCCCATTGATCGACTCAAGGATCAGCTTGCAGATGTGAGCCTAGATTACGCTAGTGGTATATAACGTATGGAACTCAACTCCAGACATCGCCCTTTAGAGCGCTAAAGTCAGCCACGTTAGACCAAGGGGATTGACTTAGATCATATATACCGCGAGCTTTCGACCTCCAGTAGCCACGATACAAGCTTCTAGAACTTTATTATCATCTTATAAACAAGATCCACCTACTAGTGATATCGAGGCGTCAGTCCATAGCTATGATAAAGATGTCTGCTCCTATTGAAAGGTTCTAGAGGTAGGTAATAAAGAGGTGCGAAGGCTAACAGCTCCCACCCGTGCGCAAAAAGATCTTGACGATCTTATGCGCCAAGGAACGTGGCGGAGATAGGGTGCGGCATCCAGATATTGGCCGGCGCCGACTAAGGATCGAGGCCCACTAGCGCACGCCACATTAGTACCATACCTTTCGATGGGTGGCATACTAGCGCTTAGGATAAAAAAACAATATTAGTAACTTGTCTGCCCATTACCTTGAACGCAGGCCACGTCAACATTTGTACCTATCAGCCCCAATATATATATGGGTCTAAGACGACTTCTTGCGGTTATCCCCAGCATGAGAAAGTATGGTACGATGGTGGTGATAGTGAACAGTAGTTTGGTGTGGCTCCCTAGTTTGTCTACAAATCGCAGTACCCTGGACCCATTATGTCCATCAATCAAGTAAGTTAGTTGGTTAACACTAGGGTTCCAAGCAACTCTGGACCCTCTTGTTACACGGGGTTTGGCTATACTTCTCTAGGCTCGGTCCGTACTAAGGCGAGGTAGACTAAAGCGGTAGTCCATAAGGTAGTGTGAGGAGTAGTTGGGCAGACACTGAGACATCTGTATAGGCTTGTATTGAGACGAATCCTTGAGGAACTATCAAGCCCCTCATAAAGATTAATAGCATTGTAGACTTCAGACTCTCTCTATATTTCTTATACAGCTATTAAATGCATAAAGGAAACACTATCGTTCATTCAAATATCTGGTTAAACCCCACGGCAAAGACAAAAGTAGTCAAAATAATCATAGCAGTCATGTCGGTCCAAGAACATTGGCAGATACTCAGCTTTCCATTCTCCGCCAATACGAGATGTCCAACGTGCCTTGCAGTACTCCCAGTATGCAGGATACCAACCCGAATGATGCCAATCTACAATCGACACGACACGAGGATTACGCCCAGTTGAGACTAGTATATTACTAGGATGGAGGTCTGCGTGTGTGAAGACGATGGAGTCTTGGTCTGGAAGGTGGTGGCGGGACTCATGCGGTGGATGAACACCGAGATCTTTGCTCAGACCAAAATCAGTTGAGAGAAATAATCGTGAAAAGCGGATACATTGGGAAAAGGTCCAGGAGGTTTTACGAAACTGGAATCGAAGATGACATCTGAAAGCGGCTGTCCGCCAATGTGGCCTATATGGCAAGTCAAAAACTTTCAACCAAGAGCTCTGCAAGCATACACATCAAGAGTAAAGCCCAGAGCCAAAGTAGACTTTGTTTTCCTTTGAATGTGGAGATATTGGCTTACCGACGAATGGACTCTTAACATCTTGCTTCAAATTGCGCCATGCATCAACCATGCGACGTAATTGATGACAGACCGCTATCCTGTCCTCTTTGTTCGTATTATCCCAACTCTTTTCTAAGGTTATACCGTTCACGAGCTCCATGTAGATGAAAACCTGCCCGTCGTCTTCACGCCACCCATACACCTCTGGGGCCGGTACGGTATCAGGAAGCAACTGACGTAAGGCCAGGAGACACTGGCCTTCCGCGATCGTAATCTCCTCTCCATATTTCACCAACAAACCGAGATCTTCGCATATTACTGGTGGTGGTCGACTCCTCAACCACGCGTTTTTGTTAGTTGCCTTGGCGATCTCTCTTACTTTTTCTGGTGATGGAAGAGTACGCGATCTTCCGTGATTATGAAAGAACAAAGATTCATGGAAAGTGATATTCCGGTCGAATGGGAGCTGCGAAGGATTGATACTGGAGGCGCTAGCGTTCATGGTCTCTAAATGGCTAAAAGAAGATACTTGAGTGTTCTCAGGTTGATGTACGTTACAACATGAATTTGGTATCAATCGAGTAATCAGGTCGTGTAGAGTATCGAGGTTGTAGTGTCGATGGGAAGGTTGGAGCAAGGCGTATTCGTGCCTGCCTAGCGTGGCTGAGTCATTACAGCCCTTGGTCCTAGCGATCTTTGTCGTACCCACCCAACAGTTACGATGACTGATCTGCTCCTGAGTTTGATATTCTGGAGTACTGGATTGGGTTCTCTATGGTGTTAATGGCAACAATCACACTAGCGCCCGGCAGAACCTGTATACGCCATAGACGCTCACATCGGCGCAATGTAGGCCGCCCCACCATCGTCTAGAACATGCAGTCATACGAAGATCTGCGCTTTTGACTCAACCATTTTATCAGTATTTGAAAACAACTACTTCGCGAGCTCTCATCTCTTTAGTAGCTTGCCAAACACCTGGAAATAAAATGACTGATTCTATGGATGACGAGCGCCTTGGGCGAGCAGTACCTACATCGCCTGCTAAACCCCCCAGCAAGGACATCAAGCTCTCCGGCCAGTACGCAACCATCGTCCCAGTACATCCGGATCATGCGGCAGAATTGTACGAGCTCATTGAAGGAGATGACAATGCATCGCTATTCGACTTCATCTTCGACAAGCATCCCAAGTCCCTCGAAGAACTCCAGGCTAGCCTCGCAGTAAAAGCAGCAACAACGCATCCCTGGACCTACACCATTCTTCGAAACAACCCGCAAGATGGAACATGTAGGCCAGTAGGAATGGTGGATCTGATGCGTATGGATCTTCCGAACCACGTTATTGAGGTGGGCAATATACAATACACACCCGCATTGCAGCGCACACCCGCCGCCACGGAGGCTATGTATTTGCTCGCCAAGTATGTGTTTGAAACTCTTGGGTTCAGAAGATATGAGTGGAAGTGCAATAGCCTCAATCATCCGTCGCGTCGAGCGGCAGAGCGATTAGGATTCAAGTACGAGGGTACGTTCCGGCAGCACATGATTGTCAGGGGACGCAATCGCGATACCAATTGGTACTCTATCTTGGATTCTGAGTGGGATCATGTCAAGAGTGGCTTGGAGAAATGGTTACATCCTGACAACTTTGACGCGGAAGGGAGACAGAAGAAGACATTACAGCAGTTGAGGGAATCGTAGTCCAACACTTTGTCTTGTAACATAAGTCGTAAATCTGAGCCCATAGCAACCCCTTCAGACAACATTGAAACCTAAACGCGATAGCGAAATTCTTGTTGAGCCTATGTAGTGCCTTGTTCTGTGTCAGTGTTGTGTACCTGAAGCCTTTCCTAAAGGGACAAGTCCAGCCGAGCTACCTATATCGGGAACTTTGCATAAACCATAACACCGCATGACCTTTTCAAGCGAATCTCAATACCGGGGAAATATGCCCCATAGGTGGGCCAAGCCGGATACTAACGGCAATGACTCACCATCATACTTCAATAGTTCATGAATCCAATAGCCATCGCGCCACTTCTCAGGCAACAGTAAGACCTAGACGCAATATCACACTTCTTGTTGACATATCAATGGTCAAGCAAGAGACAGCTAGTGCTAGTAGGCCCAGAAGAACCGGGCTCAAGAATATATCAAGAGTCGCCATTATCTGGATCAAACAACTTGACAATTAGTAGTGCGACTTCTTTACAAACCTTGCGCAAAGTTCACCGCAGTCGTGCCAGCAGATAATCAGCATACCATGTCGTCTCAGCCACTAAACGCTCAGGCACAACGCCTCAGATCCCTCCATACACCAGGCAAACCCCTCGTCTTGACCAACGTCTGGGACGCAATAAGTGCAAATGCCATCGCCGCTCTTCCCGGCACAAAAGCGCTCGCAACAGCCAGTGCCGCCATCGCCGCCGCATCTGGTCTATCCGACGACGATCTGATCCTCACCGTCAACATGCGTGCTGTGGAGTCGATTGCCAAAGTAGCAGCTGCACACAATCTCCCGCTGACCGTGGATCTGCAGGACGGGTTCGGCGACGAGCTAGAGGAGGCCGTGAGACGCGTTATCGAATTAGGTGGGGTGGGTATCAACCTTGAAGACTACGGACGTGAGATCGATGGGCTGTATGGTGTTGAGGAACAGTGCAGCCGTATACGTCGCGTGATGGCTGTTGCTCGCGGTAGTGGCGTGCCTGATTTTGTAATCAACGCGCGGTCAGATGCGCTATTCGCGGGCACCGGAATCGAAGATGTGATTAAGCGCGGGCAGGCGTATCTGGAAGCTGGAGCCTGGAACATCTTCGTTTGGGGTGGGCCGAGCAGGAAGGGCTGGGGTAGGGATGAAGTTGGAAAAGTATGCCGGGCTTTTGATGGGAGGTTGAATGTTATCCTGGACAGAATGAGTGGGAATGGCCTGGCGATCAGAGACTTGGAAGATATTGGGGTTGCGAGGATTAGCATTGGTCCCCAGTTGATGCGTCGGACGGCGGTACTGTTGGCGGGTGAGGCTCAAAAGATACTTGATGGAAAGTCTAGCGCAGCTGAGGCGTGACGATAGGGTGTTGGTGTATCATTTTAGTTCGTGAATTGGCCTTTGTCCGTTGCACAGTTAAAGAAGAACAAGACACCGCCGTGGAGTACTAAAGGCATGTTCCTGACTATCAGTCTCTGCTTATCACTCTGACCCCTATGAACT